TATTTTCTTGTTTTGTTACTCTCTCAAAACTCAAGTTGGTTAGTTTCTCTCCTCCTTGAGTTTGCGGGACAATTCCTATACAATCTATATATAGAAGAAAATGTGGTAGTAGGTGTAGTGGAGGTGATAGTGGGTTAGGTGAAGTGGAGTGTGTAGTGGAGTAGAGGTAGGTGAAGTGGAGTGTGTAGTGGAGTAGGTGAAGGTAAAGATGGGAAATTCTAACAGAGTGTGTAGTGGAGTAGGTGAAGTGGAGGTGGAGTGGTGTAGTGGAGTAGGTGAAGTGGAGTGTGTAGTGGAGTAGGTTTAGGTGTACATTAACACTTTATATAGCCTTTTGAATGTAAAATCATGTTGCAAAATATTTACCATTAGTTTATAGATGTTATAGGACAAGTCTTCCAAAAGAAGAGAAGTTAAGAGCTACTAAAATTTTCAATTATCTGACATAATCTGCTTACTGTGATAAATTATTACAACGCATGAATCAACAATTAATCTTACACAATGAGGCAAAAAAACAAGAAAATCAAATTTAACTACAGTAGAGCCACCTTACAAATTCTTCATTTACAGAATTACATAGTACTAGTACATCAGAATATTGGCTATTGAAGTCAGATTTATATATCCACATAGATTGTCCTTCTGGTTGCTGATGCCAATGCTTCAGCAAGGTTTCATGCCTCTGACAAGTTTACATTGAAGAAGATTTCCAGCTGGACTTACGATTCTTGGGTTGAGGTGAGAAACTCAATCCAAACATTTCCTTTGGAATTTGAACCGACTCTGCAAATCCAACCAATTTCGCAATAAGTGCAGCGCTGTCCTTAATTTGGTTCATGTCTTTTGTGTCAGCCCATAATTGATGGGACAATTGTAGCCTCCTCTGCTTTGTGTTCAACCCAATGCCCCATTTCTGGTAAAGGGCCTCTCTCTCCTTGGCCGGGAACCTCTTAAGAATTTGTTTGCTGAGCTTCTGTCTCTCGTGATTGAGGGCCTTCTTACTGTTCTCACCAAAAGAATAATATTAGAATTCTCTCATAGTAAAAGGGAGACAGGTATTATCCCATGAAAACTGCAATCTACAAGTTATGCAAAATCTCTCTATTCACGCAATAAATTGAGTTGATGACTGTTATTTGAGTTTTTTGGATTAAGTTTTTTAAAAACTGAGTTTTTTGATTTTCGTATTTTTTTGTTTTTAGTAAATATTTTTAAAATTTTAAACATTTTTTTTTCTGAGTTGTCGGGGGCCTAAAACGAAATAATTTTTCAGGACCCTTTAGATATTCATAAAAATAAAAATAAAAATCACCCTATTTGGTTTAGAATTTTCAAAAATAATTATTTGAGTTTGCAATTCGTATTTTTTTTTATATTTTTTGTATTTGGCAACTTTTTTGTTTTTTTTTTAATTTAAAAAAGCACAAATATTATAATTTTTAGTGTATCTATATTAGATGTATCTATAAAATAAATAAAAAAAATTGCATAAAATATTTAAAAAATTCAGTAAAAACAAAAAAACATGGAAAATAAGAGTGTAGAATTTTCTGAAAACTGTTTTTAAAAAATGGGAACCAAGCAAAGTGCCAAACTTAAGTAGAAAGCATATCTCAGATTGTATCGTGTCAATTTTCTTCCTTAATGTAGTACTTACAAACATTGTTGAAGTGAATTTGACTTGGATCAATTCCATAGCATTTTCAAAGGATTTTTATTCACTTCTAAAATAAAATTCAAACAAAAGTAAAAATTCAAGAAATGTTCAAAGCAACTTTTGTTCTGTTTTCAAAACCTTCCCTTCATTCTTTCTTCTATACCTTGTTTTTATGGCTTTGTGTGCACTAACGAATTAGCATGAAACAATAAGATGGAATGCTGTAGCCTCTAGTCTAGGGCCAGGAACAACATTTCAGACAAGAATGGTGATAAGACAGGAAAGAATTAGTACCTTTGCTCAGGGGTGACAATCTGACCATCTATCCCAACTTTTGTTCCATGAGATAGTGTAGATTTAAGATAGGACAATCGTCTGAGCTCTACCTCCAAGTAAACTGAGTCTGATGGATCGCCTTTAAAGAGCAAGAAGAAATGGGTTCTGTGGGTCAATGGTACATTGCATGCATCCCAAAGTTCAATTATCTCTCTCCGCCGTGTCTCAAATTCCAAGGGCCAATTGGAAGGGGACTGCTGAGAACCCTTCACCAAGTCCATACCAACATCTTCTACAGTTTTTCCTGGCTTAGTGGCCCTTGACTTGGCCTCATGTACCTATAAATGCATAAACACTTTGTAATCAATAAAATCTATTGATAGGCAAGATCCACAATAAAAGCTAATCGCCAAGAGAAAGTTGATTACCTAATCATTTTGTTCTGTATTGAGGAAATCTCTCGTGACTAATTTAAATGTGTGGATAACCACTATACATTTTCAAAATATTGATGTATTTAAGACAACATGCATGACAGTGCCATATATGAAAAAAATTTCTGAATATGATTATGCATCCATATGGATTTGCATATAGTAATTGGTTACTACTTGGTTCAATTATTGTAAACAATACACTGTCAACTCAACTCAACTTAAAAATAGCCTTGATCCTATACTTTATCGATAAAAGCATAATACATTACATGCTGAAATTGAATATCGAAATGCTATTTTTTTATTGAATACATCAAAATGCTTATTTTAATTTCCTTACCTGTATTAGCTATAATCATTTAATATATAAGAAACTGAAGCATAACTGCTCAGGAAAACAAGTGGGAAGAGAGAGAGAGAGAGAGAGAGAGAGCTGCATGCTCACCAAATCATCACCAGATTGCTGCTCAGATTCCGATTTTGCTACTTCATTGAGTTCTGTGGCACAATTGCGGACTCTAGAACCGTCATCTTCATGAGAAATTTTGGTGTTCTTATCCATTTTGTCCATGGAAGAATAGCACTAGAAGTCAGGAACCAATATATGCTCAGGAAAACAAATGAGAGAGAGAGAGAGAGTGAGAGAGTGAGAGAGAGAGAGAGAGTGCATGCTCACCAAATCATCACCAGGTTGCTGCTCAGATTCCGATTTAACTACTTCGTTGAGTTCTATGGCACAATTGTCGACACTAGAAACATCATCTTCATGTGAAATTTTGGTGTTCTGGTCCATTTTGTCCATGGAATTGTTGACACTAGAAACATCATCTTCATGTGAAATTTTGGTTTTCTGGTCCATTTTGTCCATAGAATAATCATAGACAGAAATTTGAGAGTCTTTGCCACTTAACTTTCCTGTGCTGGCAACATAATTTCCAGAAAGCTTCAGTTGATAACCACCTTCTGGTCTTCCAGGGAAATCTTTCTCAGAACCATTTGGTGGTGTATTCACTTTGTGCTCTGCCTTCTCAAACCAAGGAGATGATGCAATTGGCATGAGAATTGCTCTACAGCTTCTGCTTCTAGATAACTTCATGCTTCTAGAAGAATCAGACATATCAGCTTCAGAGGAGGTAGGAGATTGTTCAATAAGGCAAGGATTGGCAAAATAGTCAATAGTTTTCTGCATATCCTCAATCTTTTGCTTCAAAACTTCATAGCTGGGGTCTGTATGAATATGACTCAAATCCCTGTTTCCCTTTTCTGGCAATAATGTTACGTCATATTTTATGTTTTTGTATATGCTTGATTCTTCTACTTCAATACACTGAACTTCCTTGCAGTGATCTTCAGAATCTTCATCATGTTTTTGAACAGTCATTTCCCAACCGTGTGATGGGTCAGGACCGAAAAGATGGTCAATAACCATTCGTGGTGAGATGCCATCAGACAGAAACTGGTCTTCAGAATGATCAGGAAGCAAAAAATCGTGTTTGTTGGAATTAAGACTATTGCATCTGTCAGATAAATGAGATGAGTTTGATGTGATAACTGAGCGAAGAGGATCTACCACCTTTGACAATTCTGATGCTGAATATTCATCTACCCATGCATTTTGCATATAAGGTTCCAATTCACATTCAGCCTTAAAAGAGGGAAAGGAACAAGAATCAGACTCATGAACATGCACTTCAAATTAGATTTAGCAACTGGCACTTGATTAAAATGATAACCACCATACCAACGACCTTGAAACTTGATATTGACCAGCTGACTGTAACAAATCCTGAACATGAGATTCTGCATGATCACGTTGTTTTTTAAGCTCTTTGATCTCTTTATCCATCTGTGCATTGAAGAGACAAGTAAATGAAACACACATCTAAAAAAAGGGCCACATAAACATGATTTGACCATTGAAATTTGATCATTACATAAGCAACAAATCCTAGCATACATGCAGAGAAGTCAAGGTTGCTTACAGTTGAAAAGTGCCATAATAAAACGTTTGCATTCTTAAGTGCAACAGTTCTCATTTCTAAGCCACATCAAATGTCATAATCCATGAGATCAACAAGGCCCAGAATATTTATCATTAATCACTTGTTTTTGATGAAATTGCTAAATGAGTTGGCAACCTTTAAACAAATATTGATTGTGTCATGGACTTTATTTTACAAGCTTGGTCATTCACCCATCATCAAAGTACATGTTACCAGGATTCTGGAAATATAAAGCTAGTGAAGGACTTCAAAGTCTGAAATGATTGAAATTATCAGGACTATCCTAATAGACAATACTTAAGAGGGAATATATGATCATCACTATTTCTAACTGTCATATTTGCATATGATGAACATTTTAACTTCACAATTTGCTCGTAGATGTCGTGAAACTGACCGATCAATACTACCGAGAAACTTAGAATTCAATTCCTCGAAACAAGATGTTTAAAAAAAAAAAAAAATAAATAAATAAATAAGAAGAAGAAGAAGAAGAAGAAGAAGAGGAAAGGGATACCCCAGTTTAAAATGCCACTTATGCTCTCTACTGGCCAATTAGCATGCCTGTGTCTCTGTGCCAGAAAAGTCATAGATGTCAGTTTCATTACCTTTTCAATGAGAAGTTCCTTCTCTTTCAGTAATGCTGCAGACTTGGGCATGTCAGACATTGATACTAAGCTCCTCAATTCACCCTCCAGTTTGGCCAACTCTCTCTGTAACTGCTTTACCAATGCCTTATCTGACATCACTACATTGACCTGTGCATTAGTACTTACCTGCTCGGCACAACTAGCAAACAAGAGCGTGTTTCTTGATTGCTCAACATGACTGCGTGCAGGGCTCATGGTGCAAATGATGGCAGTTCTTGCATTGCCTCCTAATGAGTTCTGCAGTATTCGTGTCAGCTTGGAGTCTCTGTAAGGTATGTGTCCATTTCGTCCTTTGCTGTGCCCAATCAAAAATAAAAAGAAATTAACAGGGATCTCACCTTTGTAAGTAGCGGATAAACGGGATGACCCCGCTTAGTGTTGGTTGCGGTTTTCATTCGTTGAAAGTAACACGTAAACAATACCACATGGTAGAGTATCTATTAATTTTCCAAAGCTAGGAGCATATGGTTGTTTGAAAAAGCTCATCAGCTATCAGACAGGCTTTTCGCTTAATTTTATTTACCTAATTGGAATTCTAAAATCCATCTTCATGAAAAAGAAAGTTGATTGGAGGTTATAAGATGAAGATGCTTTTTTTTTTCAAATTTTTTTTTGTCCAAAGGTGATGGAATACACTTAGAAAATATGAAGAAGAAGAACTCCGAAAATATGAGGAAGAAAGAATATATTTCAGTTATATTCAAAACTTCTTATCTTACAAGACCAAATGACACTCCTTATATAGGAGATATTACAAAGGCACCTTTGCCAAGAGACTTTACCAGCTAAGCTAGCTGACATTTTCAAAGATGAGAGAATTGAAAATCATTGATTCTGAGTGGAACATATGAAAGAGAACTTAACCTTAATTTGCGAATAACAGTTCCAAGGGTTAGTAAACTGCGGTTAATGTGGCAACCCTCTTTCAGTCTTGCACCAGCTGATAATGTCTGAGAAGATCGCTCACTTCCAGCAAGATCAACAAAATTCTGGACAAAGAAACCAATTTGAATTATACATTTTCCACTTGCTAACTTTTTAAAGTAAAGAATCAATAGAAAAGCTTTGGGAAGATAATTTTCAACTGGATACTAATCACAGTAAAAATAACTTCCAAGTTCCATACCACATAAGCTGTAAGAGAACTTGACTTTCGAGCGCCTAAAAATTCACGAGTAGAACTTTCAACTGTCTGCAAGAATCCATTTTTAGCCTTTTAGGTGGAAAAGTCAATGAAGAGTTTAAACACTTCAAATATGTATTAGGCAATAACCACTGTAGGAAATGACAGCATACCAATCGGATAATTTGATGAGACCTGGAACTCATTTCATTCAGAGTGGTCTCCCCTATTTGTCTTTGAGCTGCATGAATGCAAAACCACTAAATAGACATGTAATGTCTTCTAAGAAAACAGGGCTACTAGGACTGACCTTACCTCCACAGACAGAGAGGAGCCCCTTTAGGTGGTTCCAGTCCCTCAAAGTCTCCTCAATAAGTTTCTCAACGACAGTTCCTCTCTGCAAAAGAAAGAAGAGACCAACTAATGATGTTTGTGATTCTTCATTTGTATTTACATCAAGTATGATATTCACCTCTGGATCATCAAGGAGCCTAAGTGGAGTACTTTCTGGACTTAGGAGGTCTCTGACAACTTCATTGTAAATCTCCATGGCAGAGAATTTCAATACAAATTCTCTACCATTACACTAGAAGTTTTAAAGGAAAAAAATACAACACCCATGAATTAGGAGTAAAAAACCATAATGGACTAATCAAATCTAAATGGGGAGAATAATGGAATTTCTAGAGTACCTTGTGTATGTAGTTGAATAAATCCGCTATTGTATATTCAGTAATTCCAGACATCGTGTATGTCTTTCCACTGCTTGTCTGCCCATATGCAAAAATTGTTGCTGGAAAATCATTTTACTAGTGAAAATATTGGTATGGTATACAATTTTAGGTAAAAATGAAAACCAAGGATGGATGAAAAGAACACTCACAATTAATTCCACTGACAACTGAAAGAGTAACTTCTTTGGCTCCTTCTTCGTACACCTGTTTTGTGGAGCACTCAGACCCAAATACTCTGCCTGTTCCCAGAACATTGACCAAAGCAAAAGATCAAAGAAGAAGAAAAAAAAATTGATGGTCAAAGATATAGACTTACAATGAATTTCAAAAATAAAAAAATAAAAAAATTGATGAAATGCTGGAATCCGTGTGAATTTATTTATGTGAACCAACTTGGTTAGATATGATAATGCAGCCTACGTCTGCTGGAAAATTCAGGGAAGGTTGTTCCATATACTTCATTCAAATCTTTGCTTGGTTTTAAACACATCCCTGCTCATCAAAATATCCAACACAAGCATCCCCATGAAAAAACTTTGATTTTTGTCAAATTTTCCGCATATGATACCCTATTTAAATGCTTGACCAAGATAAAGTTCATTCTAAATAAATTTATTTAAACATAGAAAACCAAGAACCTATTTGAAAGAAAATGTCTATCCAAGAAGTAAAACTATCCCATAATCCAAACCAAATGCAAGCATGCTAAAAAGATAAAAAATGAGCATTCAAAATTGATGTACTTTTTGTTAGGATCAAACACACCCAGAAATATATCTCACACACACAGGGAAACACAATTTTACGTGGTTCGGCCCAATGCCTCAATCCACGGACAGAAATGAGAAGTTTTCACTAAAATGGAGCAAAAATACAAAATACAGAGGAGGAGATGAAACTCACTCAACTCACAGCTCTCACTCTCTAATTTCTGATCTGTATTCATCCTCTCCCTCCCGTCTCTATTTATACACAAAGGAGTAGGTGGGAGAGCCTTCATTCTTGACTTGGGTAGCCTCCATTCTTGACCTTTGCTATGGTTGGTGGCCACCAAGCTTGACTTGGTTGGTTGTCTTCCTTTGTTGACATGAGGATCACCCCTTTCACATGGGGTGACCTTCAACAATCACCCCCTCAGCCCATGTGAGGTGATCCACAACAAAACCTGCTGCCAAGGTATCAAGCACCCCTGATTGGATGCCTGCACCCCCCGCTCGGGATACCCTTGCATTACCGTGCAGCTTCTTGCATGATGAAACACGGGAGAACTAGAAAACTTCAGAGTTTGACACATCAACATCTTCAATTTTCCTTGCTCGGAGCTTATTTCTGAACAACCAGCCTTTGCTTCTGCCACTTCAGAACCACTTCCCAGCGATCTCATACGCCCGTTGTCTGTGCTGCAATCCCTGATGTTCGGTTCTGTCTCACTTGTAACGTCCGTTCTGATGTTTGACAGTTAGCCCTTCTGCCAAGGCACCTTCCACCGGTCTGTACAAGTTACCACTATGCAACTCCGGCATAGTGCTTGCACCCCCTTATTGGAGTGCATTGCAAAGCTCACTTTGCGACTTGAAATTGCATCCCTCCCTTGCATCTTTTGAGAGGTTGCAAAATGTCTTTAACACGGGAGCAAAAGAAACTCTCTTCTTCACTGGCATAGTTTCTACAGACTTGGTTTCTTTGCTCTGAACTTTCTTCAAGATTGGCTCACTGGCTCAGATCTGTGCACCTTTGAACTGCCTCCTGCGTTTCCC